ATACGACTACCATTATATTTCTTTTATATCGCACGGTACGCCTCGAAATAGCATTTCGATAATAATATATATATCCAAATATACCATTTAAAATATATATATATATATATTTATATATATAAGTGTTTTCCATTATAATATATATATATACTTTTATTCATGTTTATTCATATAATTAATACGTTCTCAATATGGCTGACTACTACGCTACGTGAAAATGCTCTTACTAGGGGGGTTGGGAGTGATTTATCGTTTCTCTAAAGCGTGGTAAAGTTGAAACCGAAAAGGAGAAAGAAGAAATCACGCGAAACCGAACCGACGGCGGGTGAGGAAGTGCAAGAAAAGAGAAAAAAAAGAGAAAAATCAGGTGAGAAAGGAACAGAAAACACGAGAGAACAAAGGGAGGGAAAGGGGCTCGGGGTTATAGCAATCGTAGACGGTTATGGTACTTTACGGCCCCACGAACAAGCGGCTATGTACATGCGTTTTTCTTATTTTCCTGTGGTCGCGTTTTATCCTAATCCCATGTGCTTGATTGGCTTATCGTTTGCTCGAACCGGTAGCAGCTTTCTTCTATTTCCTTCCGCAAATCGCGTTTCCCTCGATTATTCCCTCTCGTCACACTTTTACACGCTCTTGCTCTTAAAATCTACGAACGGGGGCTACGTTTCATACACGGGCGAAAATTTGTTCGTGTTTCTCGGTGCTCTATTTCGTATATATCTTTTACTCTTTACTATTATTACATCCCTGGCGCGTTTCGCGAAGGTGGCGCGCGCGCGCGGATGGGACGGGGCGAAAACGAAAACTGAGAGAACGTGAACGGAAAGGGTGAGATTTCGTGTTAAGTATAGCCGCGGCGGCTTGACGGGCCATCACTGGGTTTCACCGCGCAGGGAAAAAACGAACGGGGAGAAGAAAGAAACGAAAAAGAGAAGAGAAAAAACAAAAAAATATGGAGGAAGAAAATATACAGAGAATGTTGCGTTTCACTACGTGCACACGACGTTCGCGTTCGAACTTCTACTTCCATTTCCTTTGGTCGGAATGCTAATATAAAAAGGTTTCGCGAGCGCGATGAGAGCCCTGTTCGCCGGCTCCCTTCTCACGACGCCAATGGCAATTACTATCTTATTACATCACAATTGTACGACGATCCTGCTCGCTCTCGCGTTCACCCTCTCCCCGGGTAAACAGAGAGGAGAGTAGAAAACTCGATCGACAAAGAACTTAAAGGATTCTAGAAAAAAATAAAAAAAGAAAATATAAAAAACGTAGTCAACGACGAGAAAACCGGAGACAAGTTGCTGCCGAAGCCCACCGAGTTAACTACCATCGAACGTCGAACGATCTGCTCGATCTCGATCTAACGGAACAACGATTAAACACGCGACTCGATCGACACGGCCAGCTGAAAGGCCCTTAACGGGGCCCCCCTTCGCCGTCGATCGACTCAACCAAGAGGAAGAACAAACGAACACGCGTCGGACGAAATCACAGGGGTGGAACGAGAGAAAATGGTCGGCTCAGCACAGAACTTGTGCTCCCCAGAAACCCGCGCGTTTCTGGCGACGAGTAGTCGCGCGAAAAATAGCCTACGTTAAGTTACTAGTATCCTACGACGAGATCGTCAAGAGGCCCGAGGCAATTCGTCCGCGGAAACGCTTCGGATCGGCGCGACCGGCCGAGGAGGAACGGAGCCCCCTCGCTCGCGCTCGCCACCGATCGGCGAGTCTTCTTCCGCGGAGAACCTGATCGAACGATCATCCTCTCTCTCTGCAGGCTCTCCTTCCGAAGGGTGTTCCCTCTCTCTGCAACGGCGTATATCGACTTTTCGCGACAGAGGGAAAAATAACCACGCCCCTTACCCCCTAAGAAGAAGCGTTCAGGCAGGGCTGACACGGCTTCTCTATCCCTATATTCTTCTTACTTCCGCTCCAAACTCGACGCGCGCCTCGTGCGCGCGCGTTTCAGCTTTAGGACGAATGGCAGTACAATAATTATCTCGCGAGAAATACGACCGACACGGATTCATCGCGCCGCCCTATTAGACATACACGAATACACGCGTTTACCTATAAATAAATACTACTACTTTCTACACACTGGAATACTTCGACGGAGTACGTCACGGAATCTTATCTGTTACTTTTTAAGGTGGAAGAGAAAAGGGCAAACAAACAATGATAAAAAATAATAATAATATTAATACAATAATTAATAATATTAATAATAATAATAATAATCGTAATAAAAAATATTGATAATTAAAAAAAAAAAAATAAAAAAAAATATAAAAAAAATAAAAACAAAGGGGGAGAAGTCTTTACTCGGGAGACAGAGACAGATAGAGAGACAGATAGAACGGTCCACGGGAATACACTATCGTATCGACAGCCTTATGATGATTTTGGTTTCATCCCGTCCGTAACTACTCGGGGAACCCCGAGGCCCGAACAGGGACACTAACTATCCTTTAATTATAAATTCCACTTCGAACTTCTACGAACGTTCACGCCGGGTGTCGGCGGGAATCGGCCTGGAATCGCGAATACGAAACAACGAAGACCTAAATACACGCTAATTAACGAGATCAAAAACGGTTTAAAGAGTACGGAAATTCGCGATTAATCGACGAATAACGAGGCAGAGGTGTGAAAGCGGGAAAACGAAATGGAGAAGCGGAAACGAAGGGTACGCGAAGTAGGAGAGCGAATTTTAGTGCGAAAATTGAATCGGGAAAAGAAAGGGAGAGAACGAAGAGAGACGGAAGAAGAGAAGAAGAGAAAACGAGGAAGAACGCGGAAGATGAAGAACGAAAGGTGAGAAGAAAGTAAGAGATAGAGAGATAGAGAGAGAGAGAGAGAGAGAGAGAGAGAGAGAGAGAGAGAGAGAGAGAGAGAGAGAGAAAAAAAAGTGACACGCAGGAGCAAAGGGTGAGAAAACCCTGTGCCCTGGGTGGCATGAGAGGCGTCCTTCGTGGAGGAGGGCGCCACTAAGAGCTAAGCTACCGGAGATCATTCGAAAACTGTCCACGGGACTCGCAGCTAGCCAATTAAGATGCTGCGATCCTCGACCTATCGATTATCTACTTTAATTATTAAACGTCGACTTATTTACTGAATTTTAATTATTTTAGTTAAATCCTCTATACAATTACAATACGTTGCTCCCCTCTTCACGTTACGTGTCCTCGCCCGTTTCCCTACCTGCTCAATCGCGCATTATACTTTTGTTCTTTCCTTATTATTCTCTTTGCGTTCTTCTTCTCGTAGTACCATTTCATTTCTTTTTTTTCTTTTTGTTCTTTTACTTTTGGAATACAATGAAGGGAGAGAGAGAGTCTCCCTTCGAAATACTTTCTATGTACAGACGATTCGACCATCGCCATGAACGTCTAGCGATCCGGATCCCGATCCACGATCGTTCCTCCCACGAAAGATCGAATTCGATCGAATCCTTAGGATCGACCAGCTCTCCCCTCTCCGTTATCTAAGATCACGCGAAATTACATTTCCATCACGGTTTCCATCCCCACCTTATCTTTCCTTCTACGCTCGTCTTCGATGATGGATCTTTCGACCGTTCGCGAGACGACATGGCACGGTGTCATTATATCCCAGATAGAGTTCTGCCTTGCCTGTATCGGCTAGGTAACCGCGTTATCTACAAGCCACGTCAAAATACTTCCTACCGACGGGAACGGGACAGAGCGGTGTCTTACGAGTAACGAGAAACGAGGCAAATCGACGAGGAAACGCAGACGGAAACGAAAGCAAGATCGAGAAAAGGGAACGGAAAATGAAGAAAAATTAAAAGATCACTGCCTACTCTGTCCCGTTCCCGTGATCACGCTACTTTATTTAATTCTCTTTATTTTATATCCGTAATGAGATCATCATTTGATTATTGGGTTAAGTCCTCTTTGGATCTCGTCCTTAGCTCCCCGTCTCCCTCACCTAGACCAGTGTGTCACGGCCCGATCGTCGCCATCGCTATCCCTCAATTCGTTCTATTCTATGTACCCCGTGCAAATTCCCTCGGGGAGAGAAACACGCGTGTCTCTCTTACGACGCTCATTCGCGACGCGCAAGCGGACCGGAAGGCAGACGATCGGCACACGGTCGAACGAACACAGTCCGTGCTCGACGATACCTACGCGTGGATCGCCGCCGCGGGCGAGAATGCACCTGGATATCGATCCGACGGCGAATAGATCGCGCGACGATCACGGGGAGGATGGGCCCGAGCAAGGAATACTAACTACTACTACGCTCGCGAGACCGAGGTCGATGCCGGAACGTCAATAAAACAAGAATCCCGACGACTGTTGGATCGTCGTGGAGCCAGAGTTACTCGAACATACGCGACATCGGTCCTTTTCATACATCGATCATCGACGAACAACTAACATCGGACAAACGTGAAATGGTACTTGGCTTCAGGTAACTCTGACTTCTCGACAAGTAACGAGTTGACAAGCTCCACCCTCGTCGTCCTCGTCGTCCTCGTCGTCGATGCCGCTATCTATACCTTCGAGTTCGTCGCCTTCTTCGAGTTCCTCCTCCTCCTCCTCCTCCTCCTTCTCCTCCTCCTTCTCCTCCTCCTCCTCCAGGAGAAATCCCGTCGAAAAGACCGGGACGAAACAGCACGGGTGCATTCTCGATCGCGGGAGGCGAGAGACACGCGTACATAGAAAATAGATCGTACAATAGATCGCGTTGGATGCTCCTGTAGGACGTCCAGCGGGAGTCGTCCAGGCGTAATCCTTCCTGCTGGCTCCCCGTAGCTCTGCTGACCCTCGAAACGGCACCGGACCTTGCTATCCGGACGCTCGTGCTGCTTGCAAGGGACCAGAAAGAAGAGGTCGCTGGTTTACCGAGTAGCCGCTCGCCGTACCGACTGTGCCTGATGCCGTTCCAAGTGCCCGTAATCGTTCTTCGTGTCCTCGAGGCATCGTGGTCGCCCGTCCTGACGACGACACGATGGTTCCGTCGCGTCTATCGAAGACGGGAGACCAGCCTCCATCCAAGGTACAGGGCCACCGTCGTCCACAGGGTCTCGCGTAGCGGAGCCGGGATCAGCAACGACAGGATGCTGTCCGTGGACCCGTTAGCGTTGCTCGAGTTTGCGAAGCCCGAGTTCATCGCGGGCAGTCGAGACTTTTCGATCTCAGCGGCCTGAAACAGAAGAAGCAGACGATCGATTCGCTGGTTCTAGCGTTTCTCGCGACGAAGAATTGTCGGTCGTGTCCGTCAAGATCGGACGAATTGCGGGGGTACCGGGGGAAGAAAAAGGTAAATTTAAGAGGGACACGACGGGTTCCCGCGGGTGCTCGATAAGAGGGACTCGACGAGCTGTCGTGTTTCTCTGGAAGCAAGAATCACAGGGAAATGGGGACGAGGGCCGGAGAAAGAGGGGACCCGGGCTAAGGCTCCTCTAATTGGGAGTGTCCTAATTGGACGGAATTACCGTCGATTCGACACTCCTTGCGGCTAAGCCTCCGGCGTAGAGAAAGCACCGCGCTCTTTTTATCGAGTTCTCTCCCTGATCCCTTCGAATTTACACGAGAAGACGAGACGCTCGAGGGGAACGCGATTAAGGTCCACCGAGCTCCCCAGGGACTGGCGGCGCCACTTGCGCGAAACACAAATCGCGACCGGGACCGCATTAATGCCGGTTAATTGTCAATTAATTTCCGCTTTGAAGAATTTCCACCGGGAAGCAATTGGCCCGCGAAACTTTCCTCGCTTAAGAATCGCGCCCCCCGAAACTCCCTCCGACACAAAGGTCTTCGTTATAACTTCCACGGAACGATTCATTATCCAATTAGTCATTAGGGGTGAAATCAGCTCGGCGAAGGTTATCGATATCGCCGTAACAATTTAATCCATCGAATTCTTCCTCGCTCTCGCTCTCTGCTCGGCTGATTTATCCGAGAGAAATTCCGGTTCGTTAAAATATTAATTATCCCTGAGAGATCGGAGAGATCCGCGTCGATCTTCTCCGAAAGCTGATAAGCGTCACGGTAATATTTTCCGTCGGCCGATGCTTTTCGCCCTTCCCTGCGTATCTTGCCTGCGAATATCACTCGACCAGTGTATCTTTCCCATTGGCGAGGGTGAAACGGAGGTTTCCTCCTTTGTTTCCTCGATCACACCCCCGGTCCGCAGGGTCCGCGCGCGACTTCCGATCCTCGTTTCGTCTTAATCCACTAGTGGTGGCCGGACGCGCAATAATAAACGGCGAGAACCGGGGCAAGCTCAATCTCCGAGAGCAGAGGCTTTTATGGGGGTGGTGGCCATAATATCTGGTCATCGTCGGCTTCGATCCGCCCCGATACAACTCTCCGGTTTCACCCCTGCTACGCCAACAGCGAGGATAGAAAAACACCCGGTCCGAGTGTTGCTCGCAGCAGAAAGAGATTACGCGCGGCGAGGGCGGGGGTGCGAGCGAGAGAAGCAGAGGAAGGCGTCACATTAAGAAAGAATTATTGTCTATGGACTCTCCTCGTGGGAGTCCTCCTCGTCAATTAATAGTGTCCTTTCCCCTCTGCCCTCGCCAGCGATTCTTCCTCGTTTCCACGAGTTTCCACGCGTTTCGAGAAAGCCTGCGACCCCATCGCGACCTCCGTCAGTTGCCCTCGTTTTATCTCGAATCGTCTCGAGGAAACCGAGCGAACGTTTCACGCGTCTTATCATCCAGCCACCTGCGACTGCCAGCACTTTCTCTCCGGACGTCTGTATAGGCGTATGAAAAGGTGGCGGGCAGGTTTTATTGCTTCGGGCCCGGAAGAGAACGCCCCGAACGCGTACGGCGGGCGCGTTGGGCAACGCGCGTTCGCTCGTACGCGCTTCGCTCGCCGGTTGCGCGCGAAATTTATGCGCGACCCGGTCGCAGGGATTACGTCGTCGACGTTTATCGTTGCCGGGACGGTAAATTTTAATTGTTCGTGGCAGCAGGTTGCGCAACCGGTTGAATATCTATTCCTACGCGAGCCGTCTCTTTCTCGGCCTTTCCGCTCGGCCCGGCTCGGCTTAGTTCGGGAACGAGTTACACGCGGTTGATTAATGCCGGGATTAGAGAAGGCTCTCGCAACTTTAAGTAACCGTGCGACGATTAATCGAACGAGACACGATGTCCAAAGCAGCGAATTTTTCTACCCCCGGGAGAAGAAGAAATTACTTTGCCGGATCGATTTATCCGTAAATCGTAGCCGCCATTTCTGCTCGACGAACGAGAGGAAATGGCGCTCGAGGAATGCTACAATCTTCGCTCTACACAGCCCCAAGAAATATGGCGTCCAGTATCGATAACCGTTAAACTAGACCTCAACGCCCATATCAGCGACACGGATGACGGATATCTGTTAGAAATGGCGCGGAAAGCGTGCGACAACCCCATAGACTACCGGAGGTAAGCACGGACTCGTGCAACGTAATTGCGATGGCCGATCGAGTGGACGTTCCGACGCGGGAAAAAGCCGATGGACAACGGAGGTTTGCGGTCTGAGCGACGAGTTGACCCAGGTAGCGAGTGTGCAACGCACCGTGGACGATAAAATCCAACAACACCTCGAGAAACGATGGAAGACGCGACGCGGAGGATGAGGTGGTTCGATCGCGTGCCTAGAAGGGACCCATCGGTTTTCTTGGACTAAAGGGGGCAAGAAGAGCGGACAGGATGCTTCTTGCCGCATCCACTGAGAGACCCGTTATGCTACCGAGTGCCTAATGTATCAATTTACGCGTCGATCGTTTGAATAACTGATAAATGTCGGTGGAACGTTTCATTAGCGGTGGAACGGCTAAACGCGCGCGCTTCGAGGAAATCGAAGCCATGCCAGGCGGGAGAAATACTTGGTCGTGGCCCTGGGGTAATTTTCTCGGTGCTACCGCGAACGTCTTCGACGGGGATTCTGGGAAATTGCGGACGTTAGAACCTGGCCATTAGAGGTCTCTCTCGAGTTAGCTGTTTCGAGCCCGGCAGATTTAATCGGCTGCGACTTCCAGCGGGAATTCGAAGATTTCCCCGGCCAAGATTAATATTCATCGATATCGCGTTTTTACGCGATAATTCGCAGAAGCAGAAACGGTTTCCTGGAATAATAAATCACGAGGAGGCCCGCGAGTGGCGCGAAGCGGAGGCCGAGGAGGATCGCGAAGAAGAAGGAGAGCGCAGAGAGGGCTCGCGATTGCACGAGATAATTGAAGATAATTTTCTCGGCCCGTGGCCACGGCTCGTGCTGCCATGCCCACTTAACTTTCACGTAAGGGGATGTGACCACTTAGCCGTTACATGCTCGCTTACTCTCCATGCATATGTAAAGCGGTGCCTTCCCATGACGAATGGGGAACGAACTGTGCTCGTAACTCGCGCTCGACCACGCGTTCTCTCGTCGGCTCAGCTTCCTTCTGCGCCGCGGAACCCGCCAAGGGCCCCAGGAACGCGACGACATCCGGCAAAAGCAATTTACGACGAGTCAATGCTATCGGGGCGATCGCTATCGAGATAAAAACGCGGATAGAAGCGTTTCGCGGCCAAAGTTATGTCCCAATTATCTCCCGGCGTCAACTTCCACTCGCGTGGTTTTTGCTTCCGTATACGCGGCAGAATTCGAGATCCCACGGATAAACGAATCGGTTCGACGGTGGGAAAAATCTATCTGTCCATCTATCGAGATAATATCCGACCTCTACGACGCGACGGCCCTAAAGCGTGCGCGCGCTCGTCACGCGATACCAAACGTAATCCCAGCCAAGCAGTTGAGAACAAACGAGAAAGAAAAGCACGTACAAGACGCGAATCCACCCTGTACACACGAGGAACACGCGAGGATACGACGTCTCCTGTGTCGTCCATCGGCAGATTAATCTGACACTCGGATTCCCCCAGAGGGTGGAACGCAAACACCCCCCGTCGGAGATTCCGTAGAGACAATTCCCTTGGCAGAGAATTCGCCACGATTCGTATTATCAACAAGCCGGTCCTCGAGTTACCGAACCGATCGGTATCCAATCCTCGAGCAGAGGCGCGGAGATTTCTTCCATTTCACGGATCCGTTCGCCCCCCTTCAATTACCGCCACTTAACCGGCAATAATTAGACGTTGCGGGATTGGGTATCACGCTGACGCGGACCTTTAAAGCGAATAAAGTCGAGACGGATAAAGCAGCAACGCCCTTCCGGCTTGTTCATCTTTTCCCCCGTCTTTCTCTCTCCTCTTCCAGCGGATGGACCGTTCCTCGCGTCACCCCCGTCCTTGCCCTCGGCTCCTTTCTTCCCATCGGTCGCCGCAAATCACGGGGAAACGAGTGAAAAGAACGAGCGACCGTAATAATCGTTCTCCCGTAGAAACTATTCTTTCTCGGCGATTCGATGATTACCAGCGGGGGATTAGATCCGTTTTTATGTCCGTTTACGCTTGTCTATTAGGTCCGAGTCCCCGTTGTTCGTCCGTCGCGATAACAACCAAGCTCGACGCGCCATTCGCCATGGATCTCGCGGTAATCTCGGTAATAGAATCGAGATGATAGAAAATGGCTCGTACTAGGGAAAAAAAGAACAAAAGAATAGTACCTGTATTCCACTTTTACGGGGAAAAAATAAAATGAAATAGAAATCGGTGACAAGTTGGCCGCGCCATGGCGCTCGTCAATCGCGAAATCCAATCCACTCGCGGCGAATCTAACATGGACTTCCGGGTGGACGGACGATCTTCCGTAATTCGTTTACGACTGTCCGCGAGCAATTTCATCTGGTCGATGTGTAAAAATGGAATCCGGCCATAAAACCGTCCGGACGTTCTATTTTTCTCACCTCCGCGCCCGCGACAAACAACCGGGGACGCCTCGTAAAATCAGTGCGGGCCATCGTCCCGACGGCCATCGTCGATACATATTCGATGGAGCGATCGAAGGGGTCGCAGGGGGTGAAGGAGAGCCGTAGATCGCGCGGGTGAAACGGTGATGAAGTGGCGGCCGTGCGCGGGGTCATACACGCTGGGAGCAATACTAGACGTCTTAACGGTGGCGAGCGGATATTTATTGCGCCCGTGGGACACCGTCGGTGCCACCGATATAACTAAATTCGCGTTTATGGCCATGGCTGACCCACACCAGCCGATTTCTCTGCTTTCTTCCGCGACGGGCAGAGAACGACCGAGAGCGGAGCCGCAGAACCGCGGCGAAATGAGACACAGTGAATCATTCGCGGGACCATTATATCGCGGGTTATCTTCCACCAGGTCTGATCGATTTCCGACCAAGATCGAGAAATCTCTCTTCCCACGCAGAAATGTAATTTTCAAGGATTTTGTACGGGAAGAAACTCGTCTGGTACGGAAAGAATTTCGGATTTACGCGAGGTAGACGGACGGGGTGGGACGGGGTGAAATTAATTTAGAAATTGAGAGCGTAAAAATGACGGGGTTGGGGAGAATTCTATTTTACAGGTCCCTCCGTGGCATCTGCGTATTCCGACGGTTTTATAACAGCCACGCTACAAGGGTGACTTTACGACGAGTGAAAAAGCATCGCGCGGGGGTGGCTGGAATCGTGACAGGGAGCGCAACGCAATTATTTTTACGCCGCGCACTTCGCACCTGTACTCCTCGCGTCGTAAACACTTGGCGTTACGCTCGTGGTAACGATAAGCCCGGCATTCAACCGCGGAAAGTTGGAAACAAAAGAGCCTGCCAGTGCTTTCCCTTATTTTGCTCCACCGTGCTTCGCGAGCTTTGCGAATATTTACGGCTAATAAAATTTTCAATTTTTTAAAAATTCCCCATTGCTTTATCGAGTATTTAATATCAAATGCGATACCAGAACTTGTACGAATTTGACCCCTCATAGTGCAACACGAGCCTAACTTTTGGGGAGTTCCTCGAATTTCTAAACAGGTATATAATTGGTAATTAAAATTAAATAATTTGGAAATGCACAGATTCGCGTTTGAGCTTCAGTATAAAATTTAGTATAGAAATATTAAAATATAAGTCGCGAGTAAAAAAGTACGTACTTTCTGTTACACTATGCAACAAATTTTAACTATTTCTCTAATCTTTAATATCCATCAGGCGATTCTAGCAGAGTTTACTTTCGCGGACACGAATTTCACGTAATCGATGCGAGTTCCTCTAAAAACACCCAATTTACAATTAGTATGAAGTATTCCACGAGAAGTAAAAAGATTAGAAGGTACATCCTCATCTTATTAAAAGTTAAGTGAGAGTACCTTGAGTTTCCCAACGTCCATAACTAAAATTATTTCTGCTTCTGAATAATTATAATTGCTCACCAAAATTACAAAACAACCCACCGAGTGTACCTTCTACACTCTACTCCAACATTTGTACAAACGTTCTCTACCTTACGCAAATTCGCTATACAGGGTATCGTATTCCCTATACTGTCTCGAACGACTCGTGTTTCGAAAATCGAAAAAAGGGACTCGTTTTCAGGCAAGTAAATTATTCTACATAGAATGGACATTGTAGATTAAAATTCGCGTTAGCAAACGAGGAGCAAATGTTTCGGGAGTGGAACGCGGACAAAGAATCGCCATAGGAGTCAACAACCCCCGTCGGGCCGATTGGGCCGAGCAGTCCACTGACCTTGGTCTTTGACGCGTGAAAGTCGTCGGCGATGTTCCTGAGGTTGGCGCCTACGCTCGCCCACTGGCTCTCGTTGAAGGCCTGCCCGTAGTGGCCGCAGCAGCTGTTGCAGATCGGCTCGGCGACTGGTCCCTTCTTCATGGCCGCGGCACTGCCACCCTCGGAGGTGAGCCTGCGTCTTCGCGGTCGTGGCCTTGGGCTTGGCACCGGTGCCAGACCGCTCTCATCGCCGCTGCACTCCGGAAACTGGAACGCCGCGTCCCTGGTCGGGCTGCTGGGCGCCGACACGGTCACCTGGGGCGTCGCGGCCGGAAGCTGCTCCACGGCGGAGAGCACCAGATCCGGCAGCGGCAATCGGGACAGGTCCGAGTCCACCAGCACCACCGGATGCCGCTCGTCACCGACCCGTCGTGGTAACCGATCTAGAACACGAGGAAGATCGTTTGGTCAGTTAAGATTTCGAATGTCTTCGATAGGGTTTAGAACTGTCACGAGCTACCTTTGCTCCATAATTTGAAAATTTATTACTTCTATTGGATGTTAGTTCGATTGAGATTCTTACAATACAGGCAAATAAGGACTGTAATGGAAAATAAAATTTCCAAGAAGGTTTTAAGTACTTAACCCTTTACACTCGACGATTTTTTGACTAGAGAAGAGTAGAAAATCAAAGATTCTCCATTAAAAAACTGACGATACTTTTTTGAGCAGTAAATAAAGAATTGTATAATAATAGAATTGTAGAATTATCTGATATCGATACCTCGCATACTGTTACATTACATTAAATTTGATACATTAATTAATATCGATCTTCCAAATTTTATGAAATGGTGACTGAGGGTCACCTCTCGAGTGGAAAGGGTTAAATATTTTAGAGCTGTGTCGAGTAATCTTTGTCCTACACTATAAATTTGGAAATGTAATATTCCTATTGGATAGAATTTAGACAAAGATTGTCAGGCTTCAAGCAATTACCATTTCTATCACTCTATCCACGCACGAAAAACGTATAGGTGACGTGGATCATGTCAAAATGTTTGAATGAATACGTGTTGGGACAGTGACATGCAACTTTCTCATAGCGTGCTAAATTTGAAAGGGTAGAATTCGCGTCTAGCATAATTTTAACGAATATTTTCATAGAGCAGTCAACCAAAGACGGAACGTAGCCATGACGCAGCCGTTTCGTCAAGTTGCAGACAAATACCAATGCCCGCAAATCATTATTTTGAGAATCTCGGAAGAATTTCGCAACGAAACGCAAATTTTCGTCATCGTCTACGTCACTCTATCCGTGAGAAACCCGTAGGTGACGCGTATTTCCCTTCTCGGTTCAAGGAACGATCAAAGATTAGCGCGGCTGAATCGCCCAGCGTGTCATTCGATCCAAGTAGGAGCGAATTCGTGAAACGTTCGCAACTCGAACGTAACTCGGCGTAAATTGCGAGATATCGCGATATCTGTCTAATCATCATCGGCCGCAATTTGTCAATCTCGCGGACCACATCCGCGCGTCGAGCTCCGTCAACGGGGCCCATAAATCTGCGGCAAAATTCAAGCCGATAACCGAGCGTCGACTGCCTTACGTGCCAGCGTAAAGTTCAAACTTTCCTCGACGATCGGATAAGCGAAGGTACGGCGATTCATCATCGTTGTTTCGATCGCTCCGAACGATCTCTCCGACTCTGCCGAAAACAGATGGCCGCCGCGATACCGGGATCGACGAAATACGCGGACCAACCGATTCCTATTCAGCGTATCTGGATTTGCCATCGATAATTAATCGCGGCGTAAAGGCGAGCGTTGCGTCACACAATGGAAATGCTCAGGATCTACGCACGCATGACGGCCACGAGTCGCTTATAAGGACTAATGCCACGCTCCGGCTAGACAACGGCGACCGCCGGGTTGCCCTGTAATGGAAACCGACGACATCGTTGGCTAATGATTGTCTGAAAATTTACAACGCTCCGGCGCGATAGCCTTCGTTCCGCGATTTCGACACGGCCGGGCAGTACACGTGTGTATCGCACGCGCACACTCGCGTTAAGGATACACACCGTCGATATCGAGGACTGTCAACCGGGGATCATACGGTGACTGAGCCGTTTTCTGGGAAAAAGAGAAGAAAAAGAGAAGAAAAAGAGAAGAAAAAGAGAAGGAAAAGAACGGCGAGGTTGAAAGGAAGGAGAGGCCGTTTTCTGGGAAAAAGAGAAGAAAAAGAGAAGAAAAAGAGAAGGAAAAGAACGGCGAGGTTGAAAGGAAGGAGACGAAGTAGAAGTGTTCGAGGCTGGCACGGTATCTGGCGGTCAGGAAACGCGCGGTATCGGGCAGCGTCGGGGTACGCGCGTGTTTCGACGCGTTTATCGCCGCCAGTAAGCCCGAAGAAGCGTTTTTCGGTTGATAAGTGGCCACGCGTTTTACGTCTCTCGCGTCGACGCCAGATAAACGCAGCGTAATTCCGGCTGAGAGAGCTGGTAAACAGAAATGCATTCGGCGGGCCGCTGGCTCGTTTTTACGACGCCTTCGATAATTAAGAGCGGGACACCGGGGAGAAGTCAGGGCCGGTGGTAATTAGTTTTAACGAAGCCTTTTCGCCGGCTCGGAGGATTCGTCGCGAGAGAGAGAGAGAGAGAGAGAGAGAGAGGACCTAACAGTCCGCTGTTTGCGCGATCCCGAGACGCAGTAACGCGTTTTACGAACCGCGAAATGGTACTCGTAAACCGGAGTGCAACTGGTTTTGGAATTTTCGGAGCGGCGGACGTTATCTGCGCGGGCCCCGGGGGAAAGCGGTTTCGGGGGGTCCGAGAAACCACGGAGGCTACTTCGCAGTACGGAATCAGGTGAGTCGCTTGAACCGCATCGTATCGCGCGGACGCATGAATAATCGCGGCTGTATCACTGACTCATCCGCCAGTTCCATTATTCGTTTCCGCGCCTTCGGTGGTGGCACGGATCGAGTAATTCCGTCGCGAGTAACTGAAATTCAAAGGGATACCCGAAATCCCGCTGACATTTCGGCGCAGATCGATCGCAACTTTCAAACGTCGTCGCGATCCCTGATGAAAAACCGCCGTTCCTCGCCGATATCGATCGATAGGATCGATCGATCCGTCAAAGCCATCTTCGCGCGGGCAAATAACAGCACGCGATCGTGGGCTGGCAGAAACATTTAAACAGACGGGTTTTTCGCGCGAGAGAAGCGGCGCGCACGTAAATCGAAGCCATGCGTGACAAAATAACAATTCCTCCGCGCCTCCGGCCGCCATTGTCTCGGGGACCGGTCGCGCGCGCGCCTGCGCACTGGAGCGCTCGCGCGGTTGCATCCTTGACATTTCGAGTAAACGTCCGCGCCGGAGCTCTCGCTCTCGCTCTCGCTCTCGCGCGTGCGCCGCAGTACTCGGGCCACGCTCTCCCGAGGCTCTCTTTCGCTTGTGCAACCCGAGCGCGCGCGCATCGGCCACACATCGTCGCCTGTACTCGCGAGTCCGATCGCTCGATCGCGAAATCTCCGCTCGGTACGGGCTTTTCACCGCTTGCAAAACCATCCGAACCTAACTTATCCGTGCCTATCGTCTCGCTTTCTACCTCGCCGATTTTCCTCTCGCCAAATGTCACTACGCGCGCGTACTACACGCCCGAGGGAACGGCGGCCTTTCCCGAAACCGATTTATGTAACGAACCGCGGTAATTATCGGTCTACAGCCACGATTATTAGCACGGATTCTGTCGCCCGGCGATTTACGAGCGCGTTAAACGTGACAAACGGCCAGCCTAATTCCGATCTATGCCGCGGGCAAGTTCGATTCGATTTCTTATCCGACCGCGCGGCCGGTATACTTTTCGCGCGGTTTCCACTCGATTCAAGGCGATCCGGCTTTCGCGCCGATCCGCCGCCACATTTCCTTCCCTTTTCTCTCCATCTCCGGGGGCCGATACGCCCCGCCGAAAGCTCGAGACTCGGGCTTCTCGACGAGCGAGACACGCTCGAGAGAGCTCCGCGTGGCCGAAGAGGGGACCCCGAGAAGAGGACGGCTCGCGCGTCCCATAAAAGCGTAGCGGGCAAAAAGTGCAGCGCGCACGTGGCCAACACCCGCATGCACGCCGCGTTCGCGGTCTCGCGGGATCCCCGTGCGTCGGAGCGGCGCTGCACGCGCGGCGGAGAGAACCGGGACGGACGGGTTGCAGCGGACGAAAAAGAGTGGCGGCGCGCATAGAGGGGACGCGCGACGAGTATATAAGGAACAGGGAGGTCGGGACGGGTCGGTGGAGACGTTTAGAGGAAAAAAGGACGGGGTTCGCGAGACTGGGCGAGGAATGCGCGGCGAGGGAAAAAGAAGGTTGCAGCGAGAGATAGAGCGGCGGAGATAACGCGCGCGGCGAAAAAAGGGAACCGGAGGAAGGAAAAACAGGAACGCGGAGAGAAAAAAGGAAGCGGAAAGGAGCGGCGGGGCGGGGGGGAAATTCGGAGCGAGCAGCGGGAACACGCGAGAGACAATGTACGCTATGTACGCGCGTTATGTCAAAGAGGCGGGAGGAGAGGCGCGGAAAAGGGCGAAGAGTGGGAGCAGATCGAGCGCTGGCAGCATATGCGAGCACGTGACTCACATGGAGCGCCCTTTGTACGCGTAAGTGCAACGCAACTCGTTACAGTATACGTGTAACGTCAACCCTAGCGGCGCTCACGCGATCTGCCGCGCCGTTGTGTGCGTAGGTGCGAGCAAGCGTGTGCGCCACCACGCCGTACGTGAGCCGTGGTGAACGCTCAACTGCACAAAGAACCCCTCTCAAGGCCGCCGCAGTCGCCACGCACACCGGCCAAACTCTCTCGCGCGCGCAAACCGACGCTGGTGGAAACAGTCGCGAGTCGCGAGCGGTGTCAAACGTATACGGGCGAGCGAGCGAGAGCGCGCGCGCGTACTCTCGGCGCAGTGGTTTTTATCTTGCCACGCTTTTGCCACATTTCAGAGACAATGAGTCGGAACAGTCGAACTGCGTCGTTGCAACCACTCGGTTCAAGATTCCGACCGAGACTCCGATGCGAATTAATCTTTCCGCCATTTAATTCTCGCGCTCGATCTTTCTCCCAAGTAACTATGAAACTCAGCTGCGACACTTTAGATGGAATTTTGCTTTTCACCGTCGAAATTTTCGAGACGCGAGTACGGATTAGACACTCGTCGGATTATCTGGATCCCGTTGGGGGGTTCAATACGCCGAAGCGCGTAACTAGAGAAATGAGTCATCGAGTCCGCGCGAAAGTCTCACCATCCGACTGGCGGGTATACACAATGCCGCGTTCGTCGTTCCGTAATAGAAAATATCGCTGCTCGAACCTATTCGAGGGAACCGAAGTCGTAAATACGCGATGATTGCCCCGGGATGTGGCCGATCGTTCGAGCAACGTTCCTTAAATCGT